TGGACGATCAACCTGTCTATTTGTCCATGTGAACTGAGGGCCTGTGATTCTATAATCAAGCAACTCTATCCCATCAATCCAACTATTAAAATCCCCCATGCTAGTATTAGAGCTGAACTGATTAGAAGTCTCCTCGGGTACTCTCACCGTATTAAAATCCCCTCCCACAAGCCATGGATAACCAGCAACTTTCACTTTAGCCAACTCTTTGTAAGTAAGGAGACGTTCTGCTTCATCATTAGAAGCATAAATTGCAGTTAAAAAGAAACTATCCTTATTCAGATCTTCCACCAGACAGTGCACAAAGTTCTTTCCAGGCTTCAATACCTGTAGCTTTATCTCAGGATTCCAGAACAACCAGACCCTTCCAAGTTTAGAACCAGTACATTGAATACACCTCTCCCATCCTGAAAACACCTCTTCAACCATGTCCTGAGCCTTCTCAGCCGTTATTCTAGTTTCCAGAACCGCTACTACGTCTACTTGATTCCTACGAAGGACTTGCATCAAGTCCCTTTGTTTGGAGGTTTTATTAAACCCCCTTACATTCCAGAACAGGACTTTCATTTAGAAGTTGGAGGTTTCCCCCCTCCTCCCTTCCACTGATCCTTTCTGACCTCCTTCTTCTTTGGAGCATCCAGAATCTTACTGGCTTCCTTATCTCCCAACTTGCTTAACACACTGAATGAAGATGTTGAGGCCTGCAGAGGATTTTTAGCACTCTCAGAAGATATCCAGACCCGAGGCCTAGCCCCATTAACCACTCTCTGAAATTCATCCTCAGTAGGCAGCTTTGGGGAAGGAGACCCAGCCACCGCCAAGAAAGATTTCTCCAAATTTTGTGGAGCAATCCTCACTCCCTCATTCACAAAAGGACTTGAGAAAATAGCCTGCAGTTGGGGATCATCCGCACTAATTAACACTTCCTTACCCTTGCTTTCCACAGATTTCTCATCCACCACCATTTGATTTACCACTGGATCTGATCCCACTGGTTGAGCAGGAGAACTATCAACCTGATCCTGTTGTTGTTGTGGTTTTGCAACCCACTGCTTCCCCTGATGAGCCGCACACGAACCAGTAACCCCAAAAAGCTTACAAACAGGACAGACTGGAGGAAGATTGCAGTACGAAACCCCTATACGAATTGAGGATTCATCATCGGGCCAAATCACCACATGATCAGGACAGTCATTCCCAGCAGTAAGCTCCACCAAAACCTTCGCAAACCCATGCCTATTACCCAATCTTGTATTTGATCCACCCCCAAAGGCACACCCACCCAACTGGCAATTCTGCTTAACCCTTGAAAATCATTGTATTCGAGTGGAACATTTGAGAGATGAACCCAGATTGGCAAGGCTTTTCTACCTAAATCTTCAAAACTGATGCCCGGAACCAATGGTCTAAGATAAAGTAAGTTATTGAACCAGAACCAAGGGCCATTCTCAAGAATCCATTCACACACATGTTGATTTGGTAATTGGATCAGCAACATCTTATCATATAATAACGAAACCCTCACCACCCCATCCCTTCCCCAGAGCTTATTAACCCAGCGACGTAGAACATGGAGAGGGGGCGGGTCTTGAAGGAATTGCCCTACTAGAAAATTCTTCCATCGCGCCGCGCCTGCTTCCCGCACCGCCTTCGGCATTCGCAGACCACCATTGATGACCTCCCGGGGAAAGTACGAGAGTCGATTGGCCTCCGAAATACCAAATAACGATGCCCAGGGTTTCGATGGAATCCCCTTTGCGTCGCTCTTCGGCACTTCAGAGGAAGAAGATTCGACACGCTCCTCACTCATGAGAAAAGAAAAGAAGGGGAAAGGAAGCTGCTCCGGCGCAGATGCCGGAGCCGGCCGCGAGCAAGCTGATCGGAAACCTCGCAAACCTTTCTCTCAGCACTCTTCTCTCTACTTTCTCTCAGCACTTCGATTAAATACATTGTATATTAATTGTTTTCACATTTTTTAAAACCGGCATGAACCGGCACAAACTTATTATACCACCGGTCGTACCATTCTACTTGCCAAACCGGCACAACGGTATAAACCGGTTTGACAACCTTGGGCGGCATGCATCAATGATCATTTCCCCCATTACTTGAACCTACACAATACACCCAATTCAAATAATTATTTTAGGAGCATATGTATTTGTCTCTAAATAGTAAATATATGATATGGGTATAAGTAACATTTATATTTGTCTCTAAAGACTATTAAAATTGTCTCCATATGATATAACTATAAGTGACATTTGTATTTGTCTCTAAAGATTATTAGGTTTGTCTCCATATGACATAATTATAAGAGACATTTGTATTTGTCTCTAGATACTATTAGATTTGCGTCTATAATATATATATATGGTTCAGGCTAGCGTACGCCTGGGCGTACCTTAGTCTACCGTACGCCCGTTGAGTTTTGCTATTTAGACAATGAATTAACCGGATTTTTTGGCATGATACTATACCCTAACCTCTAATGGATAAACCCCAGTCCCTAATTTTCTAACCCAACTCATGAGATTCATTTAATCTTAAAAAGTAAATCAACAATAATTTTGACAAATCAAGACCGTTGATTTTCATTTCAAGATTAAATGAATATTATGCTTTGGATTAGTGAATTAGGGACTGGGTTTTATCTATTAGAGGTTAGGGTATAGTATCATGCCAAAAATTCCGGTTAATTCATTGTCTAAATAGCAAAACTCAACGGGCGTATGGTAGACTAAGGTACGCCCGGGCGTACGCTAGCCTTTGCCATATATTATATATATATAGAAGGAGCATTTATATATGCATCTAAAGACTATTAAATTTGTCTCTATATGACATAACTATAAGCAACATTTGTAATTGTCTCTAAAGACTATTAGATTTGCCTGTAGAGACAAAAAAAATTCACCTGCTGAGACAAATAATATATTTGCCTCTAAATCTTAGCTATAGAGACTACTACAACAATTTCCTCTAATTATTTGCTTCTATAGGCTGGTTTTTTTGTAGTGACCAATCGTGAACCGTTAAGCACTTCCAGTGACTAGGGATAGAATAAAATTCTCTTAGTGACCAAACGTGAATATTTTAGCACTTATAGTGACCAAACTTGCAATTTTCCCTTTTTGAAACTATGAAGATAATGCTCTTAATGTTATCCCTTCAAACAATTGTGTTTCACTTGATTTGAAAGCTGATCAAATTGCAGGAAATTTTATATTAGCATCTGTATTGACTTACCGTAGCAACAAATTATACATAATTTCACAAGTAAATGCATTGACAGAAACTAATTTTCTCCGACTATCGTTATCAGAGAAAGTCTAATGATTTTTTCTAATAATATGCACTCTCTTATCCATTTTGATAAACTAGATTATAATGATGTATAAACTAGCAGGTTAAGTTAATTTATATAATTGTTTATGGTTGGATGGTAAAAATTTGGCCACTAACATTGAAATTTGAAATTCAAATTTCATTATTGACATATTAATATTACTAAGCTTTGGGTTATAATTTGACGAGGTTTTGGGTTATAATAGGTCGAGGATGATAAATTTTGTATCATGAATGAAGTCCTCGCGAATTACTTATGTTGGTGTGATATGGTGCCAGGTGTGACGAGCTTATTAGTTAGAAAAAGAGATGTGGTGCGAGTCAATGATTAAAGTTTAGGACTTTGCTACGGTGACATGCATGTCACGGTGACATGCACTTTTCGGTCGACCTCATATAGGATCAGGTCGACCTAATCAGCTGTTTCAGTGTACAAACAGTTTCATGGTGCCTACTTTGAAGATTCATATCTTACAATTGGCTAGATGGAAATTGGAGATTAAAGGCTTGTTTTGAAGCTGAAGTGTCCCTCTACACATTAAAGTACTTGGGAGCTCAATAGAAAGTCCAGAAGACCATTTTTGAACCTGACCAAAAGGCTATGCCAAAACTGGGAAACTGCCTGAAAATGGCAAGTCTGGCAACGTGTTTGTCAAGCCTACTTTGGAGCTCAATTTGACAAGCATGGATGCGAGTCAAGTCCAGGGGCCTTTACCACGTTAAATTACGTATTTTTTTATACAAAGGAAAGACATTGAATGAAAGATTGAATATCTTTAAGGCTTCAAACAAAAGGCTCGAAGTTGCTACGAAGGCTGTTTTCCTGGCAGCTTGCTTGTGCTCGAAGTCTGCCAGAAAAACAGCCTTCGTAGCAACTTCGACCCTTTTGTTTGAAGCCTTAAATATATCCAATCTTTCATCAAATTCCTTGAATTTGTATAAAAACATACCTAATTTAACGTGGTAGAGGCTCCTGGACTCGACTCGCATTCATGCTTCTCGAATTGAGCTAAAAAATAGGCTTCACAAACACGTTTCCAGACTTAGCCATTTCTAGGCAGTTTCCCAGTTTTGGCATAGCCTTTTGATGAGGTTCAAAAATGGTCTTCTGGACTTCCTATCGAGCTCTCAATCACTTCAATATGTAGAGGGACACTCCAGCTTCAAAACAAGTCATTAGTCTTCAATTTCCATCTAGCCAATTGTATGATATGAATATCCAAAGTAGGCACCATGAACTGTTTTTACACTGAAACAACATATTAGGTCGACCGGATCCTATATGAGGTCGACCGAATTCTATGTGAGGTCGACCTAATCCTATGTGAGGTCGACCTAATCCTAACTGAGGTCGACCGGAAAGTGCAAGTCACCATGACATGCATGTCACCGTAGGCACACCCTGTCAGTATTAAATCCGGACCGTAGATCTAGGGATGGAATTATTATATTGCTGGGCTGTACGCGGAGTGAGGAGGGCATTTTTGTCCGATTTTTGAAATTTGATTTCTTTCCTTTTTTTATTTTTTCCAGCATTTATATGTGTTGTCTTTTAATGGAGGAAAGAGAAAAAGCAGACTTCTCTCTTCCTCTCTCTTTTCTCTTTCTTCCTTTCTCTCTTCCAAAATTCTTTTTCCAGATCTAAATCTCCTTTCTTCTCTTGTTCTTCATTTTTTTCTCCAACAATCGATGAAGAAATTGCAGCATCCCACTTCAAATTCGGTGACGCTCCAAATCCTTCTACTCTCAAGCTGCTCCTTCCTTCTGTTTTTTTCTTTTCTCGGCCTCAAAATCGATGATGCTCCATATTGTCAAAGAGGGGACAGATCTAGGTGAGTTGAGTTTGCATCTTTTGTGTTTTAGTATTTTTTTGTGAATTAATTCCGATCTTCTTCCTCTTTTTCTTTCTTTTTGCATTCGGTGTTCTTCATTGCGGAGGAGTAAATGAGAGGAGACAGAAGACGAATTTTTTTCCCTCTTCCTCCTTCTGTTTCCCCTTCTTTGAGAATATATATTGATATTACCACACTATACCATATGGTAATGTGTGCTAACTAAGTGTATTTTTATAGTCACGAGTTTTATCATGGTGGTAGTGGGTGGTAATCGACACCAGTTTCGAGAAAGAAGAGTTAGAAGACAATGAAGGTAGAGAAGAAAGTGAAGAAAGTCGTAATTGTATATATATATTGAGATTACCACACTATACCATATGGTAATGTGTCCATACCATATGGTAATGTGTCCATATCATATGGTAATGTATGGTAACGAAATGTATTTTTATGAATATCATGTTTTTACTATGGTCGTAGAGGGTTGTAATTAGATTTACATGGTTTTACCTTCTCATACCATGTGGTATTATATGGTAATTATAATTAATTTGTGGTCCTTTGATTTACCATGTTCTACTATGGTGGTATTGTATGCTAGTTAGATTTATAATTTTCTGTAGCGTGGTTTACCAAGTTATACCATGTGGTGGTAGTTTGATTTGTAATTTTATTTTAGCATGTTATACCATATGGTATGGTAATTAGATTTGTAAATCTCTGTAGCATGTTTTACCACGTTATACCATGTGGTATTGTATGGTAGTTAGATTTTTAATTTTCTTCAACATATTTTACCATGTTTTACCACGTTTTACCATGTGGTATTGTATGGTAGTTAGAATTGTAATTTTCTTCAACATATTTTATCATGTTTTACCATGATAGTAGAAAGTGATAATCATATTTATGTTTGTAATTAGTGTCTTTAACAATGTATTATTTAATGAAAAAATCATCATTCAATTTGAGCTGGAATAAGTTTAGAGATAGTTAGGATGGTTAGATTCATTTTTGTTGAGAGAGAAGAAATAATATATTTTTTTCTTTTAATAATAAAATAAAACAAAGAGTGAGAGAAAGGGGGAACCAGACAACCAGTGTGGGGTGGGGAGTGGTCCGCGTCGCGTCAGCGCGTCAGAGACATCATTAAATAGGGGGTGCAATTTTACCTTAGTGCCCCTCCGTGTTTTTTTTAAATAAAAAGAAAAAGCTGACACGTGGGGGCCAGGAGAAGGGGTTACTGATGGTTACTGATGGAAGGGTTACTGAGGTGATCTGGTCCCGCTTTAAAGTATATATTAGTACTTTACAGACCGTTTGTTACCAAATGAATCGAGAATTCATTTCATTGTAAAATGAATTATTGTGTAGAATTCATTATCAAATGAAATCTTGTGTTTGGTATGTCATATTCAAATCTTTAGAAATAAAATGAATTGCAGTGTAGAACTAGGGGTGGGATTCGGTCGGTAAACAATTTACCGTTTACCGAATTTACCGGTTTCGGTATACCGAAGTTGGCCAAACTGGTTACCGATTACCGATACCGGTTTGTAACCGGTTTACCGATTACCGAATTACCGGTAAACGGTAACAAACCGGTATTACCGAAATACCGTGAGAAGCGATTTCGGGCGATTTTTTCGGTCGGTTTACCGAATATTTACCGAACCGAATCTCTGGAAATGGGGTGATGTTGTAATATTTCGATATTTTTGAGTTTTTTTCATCATTTTAGTAATTAATAATTTATTATTAACTCGTATTTACAATATTTTTTAGGCCTATACTTACATTCATGTATGTAATATTTTATATTAACTCTTATTTACAATATTTTTGAGGCGCAACACTAGGGAGTAGGGAGGGGGGATTCGGTATCGGTAATACCGATTTACCGTCGGTATTTACCGATACCGTTTTCGGTAAACCGACTCCCCCAACTTCCCGCTCGGCTACCGATACCGCCGGTAAACGGTTTACCGTTTACCGCCGGTTACCGGTACCGTTTACCACCCCTAGAATTCATTGTCAAATGAATTCTTGTGTTTGGTATGTCATGTGTATAAGTAATTTAGTTAAGAAAAGAATATAATTATGTCATTCTATTATAATTAGTAAATACTTGTGGAATTCATTTGGAAATTTCATCTCAATTTCTCGGAATTGCTATAATTAGTTCCAATTCCATAGAATTCAAAATTTAGAATTGAAAATTAATTCTTTTACATACCGTTTGGTATAAATGAATTCTATAAGTTTTGAGAAATTCATTTTGAAATGAAACATTTTTGTGTTTGGTATTTAAGAGAATTCATTTTCAATTCTAAAATTTGAATTCTATGGAATTGGAACTAGTTATAGCAATTCCGGGGAATTGAGATGGAATTTCCAATGAATTCCACAAGTAGTAATTAATTATAGTAGAATGATATAATTATCCTCTTTTGTTAACTAAATTACTTATACATATGACATACCAAACACATAAATTCATTTGACAATGAATTCTACACGACAATTCATTTTATTTCTAAAGATTTGAATATCACATACCAAACACAAGATTTCATTTGACAATGAATTCAACATGGTAATTCATTTTACAATGAAATGAATTCTCGATTCATTTGGTACCAAACGGTCTGTTAAATACCAAATACAAAAATATTTCATTTTCAAATGAATTCCTCAAAACTTATGGAATTCATTTATACCAAACAGTATGTTAAAGTATATCAAGTTGTATTATAATGTTAAAAGTAAAAATTAAAGTTGTATCATAAGAGAATTTGACATTTATGTCATGGTACAACATGAAGGGATAATGACTCGTCCTGAGTATCACAATTAATTCTCGTCTAAGGTCCAAGTATAAACTTTAGTAGGGTGCAATACAGGGCAAGTATGTTTAAATATCGACTCGAGCTGCTCCGTGTACCCCTACTTCAATTGTTTGAAACATTATCTAGCGAAACGGTTTTGGTTGAAAAGATTGCTAATTAAAGTAAAGTCAGGCAAAAGTAAATGGTTTTTGAAAGTTCTATGGGAGAAGGATCAATCGGGTGTCACTTCCCCCTAACTACTACCATGGCACGAAATGCAACTATGATCGTAGACCACACTCTCGTTTGTCAAATCAAGGGATACATTATAGGCTACTCAAGTAGCCCTTTTGGTTAAGGCAATCGATGGTTGACTTACACTCTCACTCAACCCAATGGTTGGTCGGTTTAATCGCGCTTAACCAAATTGCTTCATTCAACATCGAGGTTTTCCCTACATCAACCTTGATAGGTGGCTTAAAAAGCCCAAGGAATCCCATCTCAATTGAGCCTCCCTTGAAAGGGGGTTTTTCCTCTAATCTAGGTTAGAATGGCCAATTGGATTGCTAAGCACAAACATGCACAATCAACATGAAAAATACCTCAATCATTAAATTAAACAATAGCCATAAGCAATCATTCAATTCACATAAAAACTACATGGCAAATAGTTAGGGTTTCACAACACCCAAGTGAAAAAGGAAACTACTCCATGCTAGAAAGGGGAAGAGGTTAACCATCATGGTGATGCCTCCAATCTCCTTTGAGCTTGTGTTGACATTCTCTCAAGAGAAGAATCTTCCCAATCCACCACTTGGAGCAAACCCTAACCTTCTTTCTTCCTTGGTCCGTTCTTTCTCTCTCTAAAATATGAAGAAGAAGACACTTTCTCACTCTTGGCCCCCCTTCTCTCTTCCTTTCAAGTCACATTATATACCAGGATCGGGCTCAGTTCACGACCGTGAACTATTCAACGCGTCCGTGAACACAGAACGTGATGTCGAAATGCACCGCTTCGCCATAAGGAGTTCACGGTTTGGCCTCAATCTTCACGGTCTTGTTGACTATGAACTCGTCCTGCGGTAGTAACTGCAGATTTCTCCCTGGACGCATCGCGGTTCACGGTTTTGGGCTTCAGTTCACGGCCATAGTGGACCGTGATCTCATGCTAACCCGTGAACTCCGCCTAGATCACCCTTTTTGCCCGGTCTTCACCTCTTTTCGTCCAACTTTCGACTCTGGGGCTGGTTTCACCTGTTGGATCCTGAAACACACTAAAACGCACAAAACCTAGCGTAAAACCACCCTTTTAGGAGTCCAAATGCTACAAACACTCAAGGGAAACATGGATAAAATGTGTGCAATTAGGCCCGAATAAGATAGCATTAAGATCGCTAACTTAGGGGTCGATTGTTGTCACAAAAACACAAACTTAATGATGTTGACATGGATTAAACACGTAAGTAACAGATGAACTTGATAGATGAAAAACTAAAACATCAATACTTTAAAGCATTGTAGAATTCCTCAAATTTGATAATGTTGACATGGATTAAACACGTAAGTACTGATGAACTTGATAGATGAAAATTAAAGCATGTAACTCTGTGTTGAATTGTAGTAAACATAGACAAGTATCGAGCTATCTAGGAAATTAGTGACAACAAAAACACAAAAATATGAATATATAAGTCACTAGCTTATTACCCGGCCCGTTGGCCGGATTACTGTATGTTACCCACTTGTGGAATGGGAGAGAAAGCAAGTGAGAGTGAAGGGATTGGGATTCCACTTGATTAGGACCGACCCACTAATCCAATTCTTCCCAACCCGCCCCAACCTACAGGGTCAGAAAGATTCAATAAGAAAATACGAACGGGGAGGATTAGTCATATATCTTGACTCTTCAGAAGTGGGTCAAACAGGATCAAGGTTGGGTGAGGGCAATTTTTAGCGCTAAGCAGAGTTCTGGGTTGAATACCTTTACTTAGGCCTAGAAATTGGTGCTGATGCAGACTGCAGTTTTTATTATACCATCATCAATCATCATTGAATTAGTCCTGGGCATCCCTCCCTGTTGTCGGTCTGAATTCTAATGATGGCTTCATTCCTTGCACCAGCCATATCAGCGAGTTGCCATCTCGAGCATGATTTGCCTATGTACAAATAATACAATTAGAGTATGAAAATGAATTCAATGAAAAGGAAAAGAGAATTCTATCACATGCCAATAAATACACACATAATAGTTGAAGCTAAGTGAAAGTCATTACTCGCACATCAATTCTCAAAAATTACAGACTAAACTTGGCTAGAATGGCACTGAAACTACCAAGAATCATGGACGAAACAACTTGTCAAATTAAATAATCCTTATACTGAAACTACCTTCTAACTTGAAATAAGACATGATCACAGTTCATAGCTCTCTTCTCACTATGAATTGGTTGCAGCTCGTCCTTATCACTGCCTCTCAAGCTCAATTCAAACAGAATAGAGACCGTTATGTAAGATAACCATATTCTTACTGATCATAATTCCTTTCTTCACTCCATTTTTGTCGGAGAAAAGAGTTATCCCCCTCTCATGCATTTCCCTTT